CACTAAGGAGAGCAAGATGAGCTTTTCAGCCGCAAATCATCATCAAGTATCAACCGATGTCTACCTACATCGCTCCCACTGACTCCGACGGGCCGGCCGGGCAGTCATAAAGGAGGATGAGATTTACTCTCATAGTTTATCAGGCTGGTACCTGTGAGCCAACCCGGCGCTGTTCTTCCAGGCGTTAGTCCGTCTCGGAGGCAGTCCCCGGGGGCCGGGCGAACCGGGCGGCTAGCCCGACTGAGCGTGCGGAGCCCGGGGTCCGAGAGTCCCCGGCGAACGGCGGCGTCGCCGGAGTCGCTCGGACTCGGGACCGCCGGGGGAACTCGGAAGCTCGCGCAGCGATTCGACCGGCCCGCGACTCATGATTCGTGAGTCATGCCCTGCGATGACAGACGGATGTTCGGAAGGCCACCCGACAGACTCGGGCCCACCGCTATTCGACCCGGGCCGGTCACTGGGTCGCCGTACCCGCCGGCCCGGTGGCCGTGAGACGACCCACTCATTAACTTCGAGTCTGGATGCGGTCACTGGGAAGGTATCACAACTGCTGAGCATCTTCGACTCTACTGCCAGTGATTGTCCTCGTGAAACCAGCGGCGGCCGCGACTCGGACTCCAGACGGACCGCAGGGCAGGCCCCGGGCAGTCCGCCGACAATGACTCCATGACTCCGTGACTCAATAATTGATCCTCGTACGGTGACTCGGAAGGCCTGAGGCCACGGCTAAAATGAGTCATTGAGTCATTGAGTCATTGACTCGATGACACAGTGACTCTATCACTCTATCGGACTCGATGACTCAGTGATATGACTCTATGACTCTATGACTCTATCTATGACTCTATGACTCAATGACTCTATGACTCTATGACTCTATGACTCTATGACTCTATGACTCTATGACTCTATGACTCTATGCCGCAGTGACTCTATGACTCTACGACTCTATGACTGAATGACTCTATGACTCAATGACTCAATGACTCATTGACTCAATGACTCTATGACTGAATGACTCTATTACTCTATGACTCAATGACTCAATGAATCAATGACTCTATGACTGAATGACTCTATTACTCTATGACTCAATGACTCAATGAATCAATGACTCTATGACTCTATGACTCTATGACTCTTTGACTCTATGACTGAATGACTCTATTACTCAATGAATCAATGACTCTATGACTCTATGACTCTATGACTCTTTGACTCTATGACTGAATGACTCTACGACTGAATGACTCTATGACTCTATGACTCTATGACTCTTTGACTCTATGACTGAATGACTCTACGACTCAATGACTCTATGACTCTATGACTCTATGACTCTATGACTCTTTGACTCTATGACTGAATGACTCTACGACTGAATGACTCTATGACTGAATGACTCTATGACTCTATGACTCTATGACTCTATGACTGAATGGCTCAATGACTGAATGACTCTATGACTCTGCGGTAACTCAAACCCCCTGGCCCAGTGTGTCGTCGGTCTATCTTCAATGGACTATCTCAGGTAACTTCCTCGGTAGTAAGAGGAAGAAAGGGAGGATTTTGACAGGGAAGAAATGAGAGACAATGAAAGGGAGAGAAGAGGAGGGGAAGAGAGAGACGATCTATTAAGAGTTCGAGAGAAGGAGGAGGGTGGGAGACAGAAGGAAGAAGAGGGGTCAGGGACGATAGAAGGCATAAGAAGGCAGTGGGCGAGCATAACAGGGAGAGGAAGAGCAGGACAGGGAGAGGGGGAGGGGGGGAGACAGGGAGACAGGGAGAGGAGGAGAGAGGGAGTCAGAGGCAGGGGCAGGGGCAGAGAGAGAGTAGAGGCAAGCGAAAGACAGAGAGAGCAGAGAGAGCAGAGAGAGCCAGGAAGATAGAGAGAGGGAACAGAGAGAAATAGAAGAGGGGGGAGGGAGGGAGGGGAAAGGAGGGAAATGGGGGTGAGAAGAAGCAGCAAGAAGGGAGAGAAAGCGAAAGAGAGGGAGGAAGCGTTGAGGGAAGATAGGAAGGAGGGAGGGAGAGATAGAAAGGGAAAGAGTAAAAGTGAGCGAGGGAGAGCGACAGGTAAGGAAAGTGTTAGGGAGGACGGGAGCGAGCGAGCGAGCGTGCGATGGAGAAATGGAGAGCGTTCGAACTTCGGAATCGACCTAGGATTGCTTCCTCCCCGAAGATATTGGGCTCAGAAGGGAGCGGGTGAGTGAGAAGGTGCAGCGAAGGAGAGGACGACGGAGTTCTGGAGGAAGAGGGAAGAGAGAAAAACGCGCACTGTTGAAGCAGAGTGAGGAAGTGAAGGAAGCAAATTGAGAGGCGTGAAGAGTAGAAATACACGCGAAAAGACCAGGGAAAGTACAGTATAGCGAGGGAGGGTGGGAGAACGAGAGGAGAAGAAGCTGAGAGGAGAAACAGGGGGAGGGGAGCGGGAGAGCAAGAGGAAGATGGAAGAGAGATGTATCGTACCGTTGAGTAAGAGTAGGAGGGGAGAGTCTTCTCCCCTACCCCTTCCACGCCCGTCAAGCCCTCTACACCTTTCACTGTGTCATTCCGAGACTTGAGACACGAGTCTCATGCCAGCCGATTCCACATTTTCTACGCAAGACCTTTGTTGAGCTCTCGATGAAAGCATTTTTCCTTTCCATACGCCTAGACTATGCAAAACAGTTGAAAATTAACAGGCCTATGACATAAGCTGAACAAGGTAGTAATCAATGCCATACTCTGACAGAGTTACATGTGTTATGGGTCCCCTCAGAATATTTATTTCAATCTTGATACTTGAATGGTTTTGTTTACAAGAAACTTATTGCCATCGAACTCCTTCCACTTTTTTGTGACCTGCAAGTTTCACCATGACTTCAGAAAAAAGTTCAACTCAAAGGTATAAGACCTTGTCTGGAGTCTCCGCAAGAGAATCGCTAACACGGATGGCCACACTCGATGCACCTTTTCCAATACCGACATTCCACTCTTCGGTCGACCTCGAGTACCATATGTAGCCTTAAACAAGCAAGTCAACGACATTGTATTTTAGTGAATAACAAGCATCCTTCAACCGGGTCCGTCTTCTTGCCTATATGATGGCCTCTCATTGTACAACATTCGTTCCTTGAAATATTCCCTTTGATACACAATCATTTCCCTTGTGAAGCATGAAATACTCTACCCTTGCAGTGAGCTGTGCTTGAGTAAAGATCCAGCAAGTAGAACAGCGTCAGGGAAGATATAATTTGAATCTTCGATCAACCAACCGACGCCTCCATTGCTTGATCTGCATTTCAACTTTTCAAGGTCCTCGATAACACTGTAAGAATTAAATGCTCACCGCAACCTCAATCCACAAAATTTAGAATACTTAGAGCATTGCTGATTTGCCAGCATATTTCTGTAAATCTCCATAACGCTTAATGACCCGAACTTGCTAACAACAGCTTCTTCTGGCGTTTTGCGCGCAATCCCGAGCTTGCTCAGATATTGCTCCGAGGCATGTTCCTTAAAGTTCGTCAGAGTAGGGTGCAAAGATGTATTCAACAAGGAGGAACAACCTGGATCATTCTCACAATTACACAGTCGCGTGTCCTGCCTAGCTTTTCCCTTGAGTGAAGCGACTCGAGATGCCCCTGCGAGGCTCTGCAGGCGTCAAGCAACTCGTTCATCTCGCACTCTTTTGTTTTTTTCATCATTGGAGCCGCACGCCTTGGACTGAGAGGTTCGAAGATTGCACGTCCTCCGGCTGATGAATTTTTCTTCTTCGGAAGCCCTGCAATACCATCGCTTCCTCTTGTCACTCCTTGAGTTTCGTGACAGAAGATAGGCTTCTTCATCGCATTCTCCGCTTCCGTCATATTTGAAGCAAACGAGAAAACAGATGCTGCGCTTTCGCTCTTCAGAAAAAATCACAAAAATCAGTACACGTGTTTTCGTAAATTGTAGAGAATCACCCGCAAATGCATGTGATCCCCATCACTATTCTGGGGCCAAGGTACTGAGTTTTCAATTAATGTTCAAACTTGTAGGCGAAAACAACGCAGCAACTACTAACCCATCAGACCATCAACTATTGCAACCCCATCATCTTCAATGACAATCGAAGGCAAACTTGTTTCGCCGTTGGATATTGAGAATTCATCGACAAGATCGTTCAAGCTCGTTTCGACGTGTGTATTGCTGGTGATTGCAAATCTTTGCAAAAATTCTCTTGGAGCATATCGTGCAGCGACCTTAAACGCCTTTCAATCAGAATCCAGGTATCATTTTTAGAATGTTACCGACTGAAGAACGTCCTGGTTGATACCCTCAAGAACTCCTAAATACGGATATTCTCCCAGCTCGTCCTTGTTTACTTCTTCACTTTCTAAACCAGATGTCGTTTCAACTTGTTCATCTTTCTCCCTGGGAAGGCTGCCATCAATCAATCATCATATCAACACATGTTTGATTAAACAGTGAAAGAAGTAACTTCACCACCTGTTGAAAAGTTTGGATTCAAATTCAGGATGAAGAGCCTCCTTGAACGCAATGAGTAGCGTCTCTTCTAGCGACAGCTGACTCATATCCCATCAAGGCCCTTCAACCGGCGGTGGCTCACTTGAGACTTCTGGTCCGGGTCACAACTGCCGCTCAAACAGCGTGGGGCTTGAAAGTTGCCCGCCTGTGCGCCGCATTGTACCCCGATGACAAGCGAGTCGACCGTGACTATCTTTTAGAGCGGCAAGTGCTCCATGAAGGGGTGGGGGTAATTGAATGACAGATAGTATGGGGTTGATGGACTAGTCTAATCCAGATATAAGATGGGTGGGGGTCATTTTGGAGTAGGTGGGGGTTTGCAACAATCGCAATGGTGGCGTGCGCATGCTGTGGAGGGGAGCTCCAATTTCACAGTAGCAGCACATTGTGAGCCTGAAGAACATCTTCACGTATTCAGAACTAAATTTGATATTCATTATTAATCTTAAGTGAATGATATCTTGATTGTGTGTGGTACAACATTCTGTTTTCACCATTTTTTGAGTCGCCAACTTCTGCAGATTTGCATGTAGAAGTACCATGCCGGATGATTTTGGTGTGCTGACTCACTTCTGAAGCAATGTTGATCTTGTACAAATGTAACTGAAAAGGATTTATTTCTTAGCAACATCATCTTATACGATTTCACCGATGATGATCTTGGTGCTCCAGTAAGCAATTTCTACGCGACGCTGGTCCGCAGATACCAAATGGTCTCTTAAAAGGATCATTCTTGCTACAAAGTGAAAAACAGAAGGTATGAAAGATCGAGCGTGGTCGTCAACAAGTATGAGTTGGTGATCATCCAACGGCTTCTTCCCTGTTCCTGGCTGACCCTTCCTTCGATACCGAATTTTCAAATGGGGATCGGTTTCTTCTGTTGTATTCCACGTCGAAATGAGAAGTTTTCTTGGGGTATCAGGCCTGCCAGGTTCATTCCACGCATGCCCGAAAATGAACTTTTCCCTGCCATTATGCTGCCATGAAGTTGATACGGTCTTCGTAGCACCTCTTACTGCTCTAGCCTCCCATGCATCCTTGTTCAGATATTGTTTTGGAAAGCCTCTGTGACATTGTTTGACCAATCCTGTGAAAAACGTGTTCCTCTCCAACAGAGCTTGTGCAGTTGACACTGACGCAAAAGCAGAACCTGCGTAAAGAATGTGACCCTGGTTGAAGTAAGGCTTCATCAATCTGAGAACCCATGATGTATGCTTCGGATATTGATTAGTAAATTCTTGATTCTCCATGACTCGTTTGCCTTCTTGTAACTCTAGCTGCAACATAATTCCATAGGTACACTCTGCAATGTTCTTGTACTCACTGCCAATACCTTGTGGTTTTCGGGCAATTTTGGTTAGAAATGGGATTCCATCATCAATGTCCTTCATACAAAGTCAGTCCATTTACCCATGCTTTCATCCAAAATCAATTCAGATCCAGGACGAATTGTTTGCAATCAATTCGCATTGAAAGCGTGTATAAGGGGTCGGATACAACTTGATTAAAAGCATTGTCTGTTATGTACGCATACGGAGGAGCGAATTTCACGTGCTTTCGCCATTGTTCGAATCGAAAACGACTGACTCCAAAGCGCTTACCCAAATCAACAGGCGGGCTGGCCAAGTCGTACTGATCGCTGCTCAGCGGCTTGAGTAAAGGGACTGATCGTGTAGAGTCGTGATGAACTTCGGAACAACCGTTGTGACACGGCACGCCGGTTGCCCGTGACTCGGACGGACAGGCCGCCCGGCAGGGCCGGGCCCGGCGAGTCCTTGCGGCACGCGGCTGCCACTGGGTGACTCCTCAGGCTCCGGAACTTCCCGGAGTCCGGCCGCCGGGGCGGCCCCGGGCCCCGGGCCGATGAACGGCGGCGTTCGGAACGTCCGTCACCGTGGCAGATCGGACTCGGAGTCGTGTCAGGTCAGTCTCGGAGTCAGCGGCTGCCTTCGGAGCGCGCGGCACATCGCGGCTGACCCGCCCGGCCCGCCCGGGCCCGGCCGCTCCGGGGGCCCGGACCGAGTCTGGAGTCCCCGGGAGTCCCATTGGAACTGGCGGCTTTCCCGGAACCAATCTCTTGAGTAACGATGTTATGTAACGGTTACGCGAAGAGACGCCGGGAGTAATGTACGGGGCAGTCGAAGCTGGAACAGGTAAGAACATGGAAGATGAGGATGAGGAAGAGTACAGATATACAATATGAGAACATAGCACGGAATAATGCCGATCGAGAATGCGACTTACCTAGGAGTGACTTACCCGTTTCCAACGTATGCGGATTGTAGTACACAACAGCGAAGCATGTCACCTTTTGGCGAAGGCTGTGACGTAACTTGAAACCATGTTGTTTGGAGTGAGTTTACCGGGTAGATGTCATGATCTCAATAAGGAGAAGTGAACGTGATAGATCATGATCCTAGATTATTTCAATCTTTGGTGGTGATTGAAAAGGTTTCTTGCAGTACCTGAGCGGAGCACCATGCCATCAGCGAGATGGCAAAGGATGTTCGCTGGCGTTCTTGCATGTATGGCTGCTGCAATCTTGGCTTTGACAGTTGTCAGGTACGCTGTATGTTGGGTCAGTCATCTTCACTCACGATTTCTCAGTTTCAACGAGAAGGATGTTCTGCTGCAGAAGTCATTGCAAAACGAAATTCAAAGGGATCTCTCCCTTCTGAAGAAACAGCAGGAAATTGTGGACAGAACTGAAAATATTCTAGTTTCTGCTTATAAGGCCAAGTCTTTGAATGCTCGCAAGGTAAGTCTTTTCTTGTTTTCCTCTGTGAAAACCTGTGTATGGTGAAGGCTAAGCTTAGCAGTGAATGTGCATTTGTCTGTGATTCACAACTTATGTTGTCCTGATCGCTTGTATGTATCAGGCAGGAAAATCCAAACAGCTTCAACGCTTGGATTGGTACCCGACTGATGAGTCCCAGCATCGACCAGCTGCTGTACCGTGGCAGGAGGGCATGCCTGGACAGCGGAGCTACAGCGTTGAACGATACGTGAACACTAATGGCCCACAAGACCTCGCAAAGGTTGATGGCGACAAGATTGCAGATTGGAACGAGTTTTTTAACAACATGAACGTTGAAGTGAGTTCTTTGTTTGCATTTCCCTCTTGATTGTCTTGGAAGGTTGACGCTCCGAGGTGGGACAAGACTGGAATGGTTGTTGATAACATTGAGGCTATTCCCGCATGCTCAGTGGACTGTGACAAAGAAGGAACTGTATGACCTTGTCGTCTCGTTTGTTATCCACGGTTTACTGTCGGCAGGACGACGATAAAGACTTCGAATTCTACAGCGACTTGAACGCCATCAACGTGAGGCGTGTTTTCAACTTGCACATGTATGACGGATCATTTTCAGGGACGTGGACACATCGTGGACAATCTTGATAACATCGACGCTTGTGATGTTGACTGTTGATCATGATAGCGCTGTATGTATTTTGGATATTCATTGGCTTGAACAAACTTGCTGAATTTTGAAACGTACTGCGCCGGTCCTGGTTTGGGGTTTAGTTCCTGGTGTGCATGCCTGCGGCTCTCTGGTGAACGATTGAAATTTGATGTGTGCAAGCAGACGGACAGATTCACCATGGATAACTAGAAAGTTTATTTTGGGGAAGAGCTTAGACTTTGTGACGAGTTTGGGGATTGTTCATCCTGCAGCTTCTGTTGTGGGTGTCGGGTGTTGTCACGTGAGTCGGCTCGATGAACGATCTTGGAGGATCCTGTTCTTCTCTGATCTCGATAAGCTTGATCTTGTGCCCAGCGGTTGTAGTCCTGGGCGAGACCCTTCAAGAAAGTCGTTTGCAACAAGTTCAACGTTGTTTTCAGCACTGAGTTGCCAGTCTCCAACATGAGAGGTTTTGGAAACATGACCCGAAAGATCTGAGGTGGATCCACCCAGACATAAACCTCCGACCTGTTTAAGCTCAAGATATGAAATCGAGGCAGTCAAATGTGACCACCTTGCAACGATCATGCTCCGCAAGCCTCGCACATCCTCTCGCGCTTGCAGCAGAACTTTGATCTCAAAATCAAACTTCGAGTTGAGGTCAAGCCGTTGCACCTGCCGATGGCGTGAGTTATGTACAAAGCTTTCCTCATCAAGACCTCTGGACTGCCTTCAAGCTTGCACTCTTTTGCAGAGATAGTGACTCCTTCTTCAGTGATATCTACTGTGGCAACAACATATGGACGAAGCCAGACATTGAAAATCTGCAGCTCGGGAACCTAGAAAGCGTAGATGTAAGGAGAGGTAATCTGAAGGCGAGGATGACCCTCAAGGCAAAATGATGCTCGTCCTTCTTCTCTAAGCGAGCTTTGTTGGGAAGCGGAATCAGAACGTACTGATCGACAGGCAATCTGCAAGGGAGCATCACCAAAAAGCAAACAACACACAAAGTTTCCACTTCATATAGTTGCCAAGGCTGCATCCTTCGTCGTGCTTGGGAGATACAGCGATGTTGGAAACAACCTTTGCTCCGAAGACAATGTCCTTTCGACCTCGAGGAGATGGTCGTACCCAAATGTCGCTACCAGAGTCACCAACCATCCGAAGCTTGGCAAGCCTGAGGTTCTGCCCTGACCTTTTCTCGGGTTGAATGCCAAGGGGAGAACTCACGCCATGTTTGCAGCCTAGTTTGATGGAATGGTGACAAACGCTGGTGAAGCACCAGACTTGCTGCTGCACTAATGATAGTTGCACCAAAAGCGCCGCAAGTTTCCATTTCGCACCACTCAACAAGAATCCAGAAGCCATTGCCCTGTCACAAACAGATTCCTTGCTCATCTCAATTCAAATAAATGACCGAAGCAAGGTCTTGTCTTTTGATACAAGTCTGTCGCGATGTTTTTCTTCGAACTGTCTGATGGTAATGAACAGTTATTTCTTTTTGATGACCACAGCATTGCTTCATTTGCTCTCAGCCTTGGTCTCAACCCCAAGTTACTACCGAATCATGTTGTGTTTTTCTGCCAAAGCATCTATCTATCTACATTTCACAGCAATAATGATGGTTGACCTTCTACTCACCTAATCAATTTGGACGTAAATGATATCTCGTTCATTCCCTTTGTTTCTCCTTACCTTTGCAGCTCTGTTGAAAGACTTCCTTACATTGCGGTGTACTTTCAGACTAACGTCCCTCCCCCATATAGTTTCAACCACCTTGTCGTGCTCTTCGCTATCTTTGGTTCATCCTAAACCCTTTGCTTAAATTTTATCCTTTCCCTGCTTTTTCTGACGCTCCATGCCCATGACTTTGAGCTCTCCGCTTCCATATCTCTTCTCTCTCGATGTCTCGTCATGATTGTCCTTCCTTCCTCCTTCCCTTGCAGTCCACTTCCTACTCCCAGCCTCCAAGCCCATGCTTTTATGTCACGATTCCGAAGTTTTACTCAATAATACTACCCCACCCCAGATGTTCATCTCAGTATCATCCACCCCTACTCCCTTCAGATTATTCAACCAGACCGCAAGTCTGCCTCAGTTTCCTGCAGTGGCGCTTTTTTGATGCTGGCTTTGATGCTTGTTGGAGTGCGCAATGGGGGAGGGGGCGGGGCTGTCGAGCACCTAGTGCTCTCTGGCTGGCTGGCTGGCTGGCTGTCTTCTCTTCCTTCAGCCTTCATTGCATCTTCACATCCCCATCCTCTTCCATTTCCATCCCTCCGCCCCACCAACCCTCCTGTAGTTTCCCTCCTTTCGCATCCCTCCTGTTTTCGAGAGGAGGACACTCTTTGGTTTGGTCAAGGGCAGATGGAAGAAGCAGATGGCTAGCGGGGACGATGGAAGAGACTATGATCAGATCATTGAACATTTGTGGCCTTGAGTCTTGCGTCTGCGTTTAACATCGCAATGCACCAGGTGAACATGCAGGGAGAGGTTTCAGTCTCGCTGGAAAAGGTGAAGGATCTCAAGGCAAGTTGTCGTGACATGGTCTTCTTTTGCTCATGCGTCAGTAGGGCAAAGTTGACTCTTTCTTGCGTACTCTGGTGGGGAGGGGAGAGAGGAAAGAGAATGACCTGATTGGACAAGACAAGGTTTCAAAGCCCGAGCCGTGTCTCTGTATTGTTTGACTCAACTCATAGGGATTGGAACATTTCCTCCTCTGGGATGGATTCAATGAGCGCCTGCAAATGCATCAGGTTGCCATACTTGAGCTTCTTTGCATCTGCCTCGGATGGTGACAATGATATGGTCTAGGACCCAAAGCTGTCGCGCAAGGATGTACTAAAACACTTCAACGAGAGCGTGTCAAAGGTAATGTGCCTATGTCTGTGAGCTGAGCAAGACAGAGCCCGTGCCTGACCTGCTTGCGCAGCTTGACGAGATATGCGCGCGCACAAACGAGGTAGTAGGAAGCATGACCACAGAACTCATCATCCCCATGGAACTCACGCACAATGCCGGAGAAATTCCTGCAGCAACAGTCTCACGTCTGATCCCCGAAGTTGGTTGAAAGCAAATTGAGGGCTTTGACCTGACAGTTTGCAAGGTGGAGGCAGCCAACGAGTTGCTGAGCGATGCAGGCAAGGAGCGAATGAAAATGTCCTCCACTCCTTCCATCGCCAAGCAGCAGGCAGAAAAGTGTGAGGAATGTCGCAGCCGTTATAATGAAACATACAGATGGATACAGCTCAGCACATGCTGGCTACAAGCACTGAGTCGTCCTTGAATCGCATCCGCGATTCAATCCGCTCGGTTGTCGCAGGCGCAGGTTTGTTTCCTCTTCACCTGCCGTGGTGGGTTATTTTACCTCAGGGCTGCGCAAGCAAGCGCGTCGCATGCTGGAGCCAGGTGAGCTTGAGGTGCGAGGATAGGAACCTTGCTCAAGTGCTTGAGCAAGGATGGCATGACCTGGATGCGGAACGAGCCATCATCGGAGCTGCACTGGGGGAGAGTGCTCTCAAAGTGATCACAACTTGTCAGGTAAGGCATACTGCACGGCAAGCGGGGAGTGACGCCTGTCTGCAGAACTCTGGTTTGAGGTCGATTGACTTCAAGGACAAGGTTGCTGATCCTGTACGATCTCGCGCTGAAACTGTCAACAGGAGCACGAACGTCTTTGGGAAGCAGCAGAAAAAGTGAAGAACAACAATTTGCTACAGTCCGACCGCCAAGCTTTGAGCACTTTGTTACGCAAGGAGGTGAAGAGGAGGAGGAAAGGAGGAGAGGGAAGTGACGATTTCCATTCTAGCTGGGAGAAGCAAAGAGACAGCTCATCAACAAGTTGGAACAGCAGGGAAAGAAGAATGCTCCTTGTGACCTTCAAAACATGATTGCATCTGTGCTTCTCAAGGTAAACTTCATGTCTCGTGGTGCATCTGACGGAAATGCAGGCAAGACTGCGGCGAGCGTACGAGGCAACGACCAAAGGTGTGGGCATCCGAACCGAAGCAGGTCCTGCTGGTACCCTGCCGGGCTCTGGAATAGACCCGGTTAAGATCTAGTCTCGGAGTTCCTCCTCTCTGATTGACGTTTTGTGCAGAATCGTATGACACAAGCAAACCTTGCGCGAGCTGGGCTGCCGGTACCAAGTTTGGTCATGGAGAGGGGATGGAGAGTGTGGCAGAGAGATTGAACGGGTGGGTACGGGGAAGCGGTCAGCTGACGACCCTGGCAGGGAAGAGGAGTGACAGGAGCGTATACAGCAGGCGTCGGTGCGTTGATGATGCGATGCTTGCATGTCACGAAGTTGACCACTCGAGCAGGTGCCCAGCCCAACATGGGAAGAAGCATGTACTGATCCTGACTGCTTGCACCGAATTCATGTTGGCACGAACATGGTACCATCAAACCCTGGGGGTGGTGAAGGATGTGTAATAGAAGCTCTCAATCATTCTTCTTGTCTTCGTCCGGACTATCTCGCGACCCCCGATGAGTCTAAACCAGAGTCTTTAGCACACAATCGAGCCAACACGCGGCGATCACCTCATTGCGAATGATTCTAGCATAAAATCTCGACCCGCTGCTTGCGAGCATGCGACTGTCTCGTCCGACAGGACTGATAATCAAATGCCAGCACGTCAGAACTTTTTCTTTCCCACCCCCTCCTGCCTCCCCTTCTCCTTCCTCTGTTGTGCAATCCTGACCTCGATTCCGCCATGGTAAGCGCGCGCTCTCTGTCTGTCTGTCTGTCTGTCTGTCTGTCTGTCTGTGTCTCTCTCTGTGTGTCTGTGTGTGTGTCTTGCTCACCTGCTCAATCCTGATGACGAGGTCGGCGCACGTCGCATGACGTCATTCTTCCCCATGATTCCTTCTCCCTGGCTCCCCGAGCTCATGCTTCGGTCGAAGGGCATGATTCCCGGAGCAGCTTCAGCCTCGTCCGATCGCTCTTGGTAGCGATCGTTTCCCCCTCCTCGCCTCGGGCTTACTGTTCTCCTCGGGCTCACCATAGTGCGCACATGCGAGTGGACGTCAGGCTCCATCGAGCTCGAGAGCTTCTCGCAGAATCCAGCGCTGGGCGATCGGCTGAAGGGAAGGATCCCGATGGACTCGGAGGAAAGCTTCCCGCTCGTCTCTCGCCTGTACACTCGGTCGCTGTCAGGCACTTCGCGGGCAAACAGCGAGGGGTCGAATGAAAGGTCTTCCTCGTCTATTGCCGAGCGAATCGAATTCTCGCTCGCCCCCATCAGGTCATCGAGGCGATATGGACTTGTGTTCTTCCCTCCCATAGCTCCCCACTTGGGCGTTCGCCCATCCACCCGCTTGAATGAATCTTCATCGCGATCCCTCACAAGCATCGGACTTCTGATCCTTCCGTTTCCATCCGAGGAGCTCGCACTGCGAATGAACTCCTCAAGAATGCTTCCAGATTTGTGCGATGAACTACTCTGAGAGGATGGCATTGCTGAGCTTGGTTTCTGTTTTTCTCAGACAATCACTCTCAACAGTCTTTGAGTAAAGCATAATCAACCTCTTTCTGGGCGTCGACTTGAATGTTAGGTTTGGCCTTCTTGCCTTCCTCCGCTCTTCTGTTTTCTCTCTCTGCTCCATCTGACATAACAGCTCAGGAGGAAGATAGATATGGCGTGCCATTGCGCACCTTTCCCGCTTGTAATGGTCTCGATGGGGGCAAAGGCGTCAGGAAGAATTCTGAGCAATATGTGAACGACGCAAGCAATCTTGCACGCCGATTGAATATGTTTAAGAATACAAAACTCACTTCAAAAGCTTCTGATTGCCCTCGAGATCACTCGTGTAGACATCGAGAAAATCATTCACATCAAAGATCCAACACCTGAATCCACAAATGTAAATCTTTGCTCAAGATCTGATCTGCGCAAACATGCAGATACTCTACCTGCAATTCTCGTTTGCCACAACATCACAAGACAATTCAAAATCCTTTCGTATAGGAAGGTCTTCCACTTGCTCCAAATTATATTTCAAAAGATTTGACAGAATTAGGGCAAAAGTAGCTTCTCCAAAAAACTCTCCATTTTTCACTTCAGTAAAAGGAGAACCGTCAAATATGACTTTGGCACTTCCTCTTTCCATGAAAAACTGGGAAAAATTAATTGAAAACAAAAATATTTCAGAAAATCTCACCATGTGGCGTCCAATCTGACCAGATTCAACAATGACATGACCACTTGTGAATTGGTCGTTCCGCATGTTTGCTAAGCAGGTGGCTTTGCATTCATCCGTCAATTGTTCCATCAGCTCAAATTTGGATGACCGAAGGAAGGGAGGAATTCTCAAGCTAAAAGATGGAGAGACTGCAACTTGACCAGGTTTGTCATTAACGTTATCCTTTGGAGCTTGACACACACTCAACAGCTTCTCCATGTTCACTTTGTTCATAGCGTTGGAAGGATCTGGTCGTGACGTGTCAAAGTTTGTGTCATACATCCGTTGTTGTGTCAAAGTGTTGTCCCGCATTCTCTGGTCGAAGACGAACCCTCCTGACGGCGTACGAGATTCAGGCGTGAATCCCTCATCACTCACACCTGCCGACATCTCGAAGTCGCTGCTCGACTCTAGCTTTCGGTGTACACTCCGAGCGATACCTGTGAAGAGATCTTCGCTCTCGCCAGACATACCACGAGGTCTCCCCATCATGGTCATCGAGTGGGCCGCCGAGTTGGGTGTCTCCATCCTCGACAAGGTTCCCACACGCGAATCTCTGAAGAGCCTTCCTGCGCCCTGAGGTAACACAATCAGCGAGCTGCAGGTGAAGAGCAAGGCTTGCAAACCTGTGCGATGCTCAACCTCAGCTCCTCCTGCCGCTTACGGAGAGAGGCATCAAGAGCATTCATCCTCCTCGCGATGAACGCGAGAAGGAACCCGATAATTGCGAGAAGCAAAATCGCAAGGAAGAGCATCACGTTGGTCAACATTCTTGTTTCCTCCGCAACCTTGGCTTGCACGAGCAATTTCATACTTGCATCCACGTCTTTCGACAGATCAAACGACATAATGAGACAAATCTGATTCTAATACAACAAGACAAGTTTGCGAGAGAGAATGCAAATCAACGTATCATGATCAATAAAATCGTGCAGTGGTTCCATCGTTTGCAGCTGTTGCATGAAGTCCGAATTCAACCAATTCCTTGGACATGTTCTGCGCGCTGATATTGTTCTGGTTAACTCACTTGTTGTATAGACTTCAAATTCAGTATGTGAACTTACACATCGTCTGCTTGTTGTCTTGGTTGCCCGCGATACAAAGAAATTCAGCAAGATACCATAAACCTGGCCTTGTCAAGCTACCGAATTACTCGCAGATTCTTTCCTTAGAGCACATCCTTCCACCTGAAAATCAAAGTCATACCTCCCGTCACCTCCGTCTTTCCGATACATTATTCTCTTCGCTTGTCGAGCACTTTAAATTGCATCGTATCTACTTGCCAGCATGCTGTCCTATCTGGTAGAGCTCATTAACCTTCATCTTATTTCTTCTCATTGATCTTTTCAATCTTTTTCATTCACTCTCTTCTACTTGGACACTTTGGCTTTTTCACCTGCTTTTTCTTACTTTCTCTGGACATGTCTTGTCACATGGTTGTTTGTTTTCTCCTTTCCCCTCTCCCCCTCCCTCCCTCCCTCCCTCCCTGCTCTCCCTCCCTCCCTCCCTCCCTCCCTCCATCAGCTCGCATTTTCTGCAGGCTGCCATGCAATTCACTGTAGACGACCCCTCCTTTAAAAAATCCTTGCATCTCTCCTATACCCCCACCCTCGTCGAATTGCCCCTACCCCTTGCTGCACATCTACCCCTACCCCTCCAGACCCATTACAATGACCCCGCTCTGTTGCCTGCACTCTGCCTCGCCCCTCTCGGGTACCTGGACTACCCCCTTCTTTCCACAACTTCGAGCATCAGCAGACTCACCACTACCCTACCCGTCACAATGACCCTTCGAATCTATCGGAACCACCCCTGGGTAGTAGTGTGCGGGACCACAGCGAGGGCGTTGAAATGAGTTTTGATTTTAGAGCGAAACCAAAAACTTTGAAAATTTATAGAAAAAAATTCGACATATCTGATACTTTCATACACGATCCAAGAATGCAGGTAGGCAACTCTATCAACTTCAGTTACGGGCCCGACGGCCCCGGCTGCCAGAGCCGGTCTAGATGTCAATTTATCATATTTGTAACGGAATGTAACGAAGCGATGGAACTCTCACGGGATTCATTTCGCCATCGCCACAGAACATGGCGAGAGTGAGAAGGAGCAGGCGAGAGGCAGAGAGAGAGAGAGAGAGAGAGAGAGAGAGAGAGAGAGAGAGAGAGAGAGAGAGAGAGAGAGAGAGAGAGAGAGAGAGAGAGAGAGAGAGAGAGAGAGAGAGAGAGAGTAGAGAGAGAGAGAGAGAGAGAGAGAGAGAGAGAGAGAGAGAGAGTAGAGAGAGAGAGAGAGAGAGAGAGAGAGAGAGATAGAGAGAGAGAGAGATCGAGAGCGAGAGAGAGAGAGAGAGAGAGAGAGAGGTAGAGAGATAGAGAGATAGAGATAGAGAGAGAGAGATAGATAGAGAGAGAGAGAGAGAGAGAGAGAGAGAGAGAGAGAGAGGTAGAGAGAGAGGTAGAGAGAGAAGAGAATGAGAGAGGCAGAGAGAGAGAGAGAGAGAGGAGAATGAGAGAGGCAGAGAGAGAGGATAATGAGAGAGGTAGAGCATTGAAACCAGCACCGTCAATACTCTGACCTCTCAGAATTAAGATGGCCCCGCGACAGAATTCTTGCTTCCTGCACACTCGAAGAGAAGAAACCGCAGCTTATGTTTCGACATGACTCATACAGAACAATTTTTTGAACGACTCGGTGGTCGTCGAAGAGATTGGCCATGGAGGAATCCAATTGTAAGATACAAAAGGCTTGGTGCTCCTTGACTCTCTCTCCCTTCGCGGGCTAGGTTGGCATAGAATGAACTTTCCTGGCAAGCTCTTCGATGCATCTGGCGATCCGGCCTTCGACGCTCTTGACTTTGGGGTATCGGGACAGATGCTTTCCTGCGGGAACTCATTCCTCCTTCAAGGTCAGCATGACAGCGGCAAGCTGATCACAAACAAAGGCCCCCTCTGCTGTGTTGATCGAGGAGTGGAAAGGATGCCAGAGGCCCTGTGGAGCAGTGACCTGCTTCCTAGGAAGAGAATGTCAGGACAGTTCAGACGATCAACTCTCGATGAATCAGATATAGACATGGTGGACAACGATGGGCAAGATGACATGTCGGAAGAATCAACATACTTGCTCCGATACCAGGAGCATTGTATGGGAAACTGTTTGGATTCATTCATCCTTGATGATGAAGATGTTATTGTGGCCCAGGTAGACGTTGCACACAGTGATTTGAAGCTGTCGAAGCTTGAGAACTTACAAGGCTTTGAGTCGATAAGACTGCGTCCTTTACTACAACAAGATGCGTGCCATGGCAAGGCAAACACCAAAACCCTCATGCGTGATGAGATCTATGAGCTAGCAAGCACATTACCATTTCACAAAAAAATACGTTCAGACCAAACCTGTCTGTTTGCAACAAGACGATCAAGGTCAGTGGTGGAGATGAGCACGGAGTTGATGAGGAGGAGGATGATTGAGATTGTGAATGTGACGAATGTCAGTGTTGATGATTTTGAGATTTGACCTTGAAGGAATTTAAATGCTAATATGAATAGAAAATCGATTGCATATGTTGGCATGATAGCGATTGAGATGTTGCTCTAGCTCTAGCTCCCGCTCCCGCTTCTCGCTTTTTGTTAATGTCAAAGGAGATAATTGCTCTGAAGATAAGTTGCGACGGTTTTATCGTGTGCCACAGTTCTGCTGATTTTGAGTTGCAAGGCGTGTTGAGTTTGTCTCGTGCGAGTTGAAAAGGGAAGACGGCAAGGTCTGTGTGCAGAGGAAACAGGAAGCTCATCACCAGCTGGACAACGAGGAGACTTCCAAGAGCAGAGCGACCTGCTGCGTGTCTTTCAATCCCTTCTGGCAGGAGGAGGCTTGTATCCTCAACACAGACGGGACTGTTGACATCTGGGATGCTTTCTCGGAGACCGTTGTCGGGTACAGCGGCATGGGAGAGGACGCAAGGGCTGCGGCAGTGCTCGAACAGCCCAACGCGTCACAGGATGCTGTCGCCTTTCTCCGCAAGCTTGTCCTTCCTTTCGGCCACTGCGTCTGGGGGGCGCATCCTCGAACTGTCCTCTGCTGCCAACCCTACAGGATCTCCCTCCTCGACCTGCGAAGCTCTTCCTCCTCCTCCGAACTTTTGCGGATGCCGAACCATATGCTGGGGCAGACAGGGAGATTGTTCTCCTTGTGTGGTGGAAGAGATGTAGACGGTCGGAACAGCCACGAGTTCATCGTCAGCTCCTCCTCCTTACTCTGCCTCTTTGACATCCGGCAACCCGCCATACCGCTGTTGCGCTGGCTTCACCATCAGGAGTTCGATCCTCCTCGTCACCTGCTGCAGTTTCAGTCAAGTCACAAGTCAGTGGAGGAGGCAAAACTTCTCCTCACCGGCTCGTATCAGTGGGGAGAGATCGTGTGCTACCAGCATGGCAGGTTCGCGGAGGACGCAGCTCCTTGCTCCCTGGGCCTTCCGCACAAAGTGTTCTCCATCGGAGATACCAACCTTGTTATCCCCAGCAGGAGCTTCCGAGGCAGGCCCGGAGAAGCCTGCAGACGGGTAGAGCTGAGGAGAACTTCTGAGAAGCAGGAGGTGCGAGACTTGAGAACCCTGAGCGGACTTTCCTTCTCATGGCAGCCATCTGCCGTCCCCTCCTCCTCCCTCGCCTCTTCCATGGAACTTGGACTCGTTCTTCAGTGCTCACAGTACGGAGAAGTTTTCGTTCAGAAGGTTGCAGCTCAAGGAGAAGAGGAAAGATCCTCTGGGGATCAGCTGGGCAGCTGGGCAGCTGAAGGAGCTCCTGACTCGCCGCAAACTGCCAGGCGGGCCTCATCGAAGAGACAGGAGGCAGGCGAACAAAACCCCGAAGGATATGCTGGGGACGATGAGGAAGGAGCAGGAGCAAAATCTCTTCCAGCAGCGTACAACGAGGCTTTGCGAGTGATGGTGTCAACGATGAAGAAGGAAGATGTCGCGGTCAGAAGACAAAGCAGAGCAAAAGCTTTGCGGACGATGAACATGAAGAAGGAAATTTTCTTGTTTCTCTTTTCCTTCCAGCACTCTCTTCTGCCCTCCCTCCTTTTCTCGTCAATCTCTCCTCGCTGCTCGTTCCTCGATCTTGATCATACCTCCTCACTGGTCTAACGGCTCAGCAGGTCTTTGAGTTCGGGTTGGGTCTGAGAGACTTTGACGGGAAGGTGAGCAAGGGAGCGAGACTTCCCGAGCCCTTGATCCTCCGAAGCAGGTAGAACAGAGGAGGAGATGATTGTGTGAGAAGAAACAAGCGGAACGAAAGAGTGGAGGGGGGGGGGGGGCGGGAGGGGGCGATGGGGGAAGGGAAGCGAGGAAGGGAAGTTGACATCGCTTGGCAGGTCATGTGAGTCATGCGGGTCAAAGTCTCGCTCGCATCCTTTGCTCACGTGCTGCTGGTGTAACGCCTGCTGGCACACCTCCTGCTTGAGCTGCGGCCTTGCCCCCCCCGATTGGACTTGCGCATCCTGCTCAGGAGTAGAGGAAAGAGGAGCGGGAGGTATGCAGGGAGGAGAGAGGAGGAGGCAGTACGGCCCGTGGATGGCTGTTGATCTCTCCTTGAGCCAAAACATCTTCCAAGGAATCCTGAAGGAGCAAGGCAATAGGACTAGCGCTGGAGGAGCAAGAGGAACAGCGGGGGAGGAGTGGCAAGGAGGAGTGGCAAGAAGGGCGAAGGAGGAGGATGCGGAGCTTCTGTCGCTTCTCCTCCCCTTTCTCTCCATCCCCCGAACAATGTTGGACATCCTGCTGTTCCTCTCCCCCAAGGATGCGACCGGAGGCTTCACCCTCCTCGACCTCAACGACTTCCTTCACCGAGCTGTCGAGGAGCATCGCAAGGTGAGGGACAAGAGCCTAGCACAAGCTGACGAGGAATCAGGTCATGCTGGTGGAGAGCCGAGGGAGAGCAGCGGCAACGACCTTGCAAGCTGCTTTGCAGATGCAGGAGGAACGAGGCATAGAAGATGGAGCGAGGTGCGATCGAGTCTCACAGAGAAGATGGATGATGAGATGGCAGGGGCGAGGAGGAGAGGAGGGGGAGAGATCTGATGGTGAGTATGACCTGCCGTGTCTACGCACAGAGGAGAGACACTCTCCTGCCTCCGCCTCCTCGCAGTGCAGACAGAAGGAGATGCAAGACGATGGCAGCGATGTCGAGGCTCGCAGAGGAGGAGGGAGCGTTTAACCCCAGGAGGTTCAGTAGGCTGTCGCATCGGTCTCGCACAAGGTTCAGTCATGAGGATGTAAGAAGAGCTTCTGTCCTACCTTCCCCCGCCTCCCCCTCTTCCTCTTTGACTCGTCTGTGCTCGCATGTTCCTCGCCTTGCCTTCCTCCTGCTGCCTTCCTCTCACCAGCCGCAGGTCGTGAATATCTTCAGCCTCCGCCCCCCCTGGAGGTGAGCGGGTGTGTCAGGCTCTCGCCTCCTCTGATGCCCTGCAGGTATCGCGACAGACCCGACGGATCCGTCGAACTTCTTCCGACCTCACAGGAGAGCCAGCGAGCGGCGACGTCGCTCATGCTCGAACTTGCCAGCAAGTATCACGTGTACTTTGGTACCATCCGCGACATCTGGATGAAGAAGGTCCCCGTCCCTCCCTCCCTCCTCCCTCCCTCCTCGTCTTGGTACCCCTTCTCCGCCCTGTTTTTATCACTTACTTCCTCAACCTCGTTTGCATCTCTTCACCTTACTGGTCTACTCCTCTTGTCACCTTTCCGACTCGTCCCTTCGCAACCTTGTCTCGCCTCCCCGCCTCCTCGCCCCCTCTCCTTATCTCCTCCCCCTTTTTCTCTTCCTCTCCTCCTCTCCTCCTCTCCTCCAACTCCAACTCCTCCAACTCCTCCCACTCCTCTTCTTATCGCAACCCGTTCTTCAGAAGCACGCAAAGACCCTGCAGCAGCATTGCTCCTCTTCCCACGTTGATGGCGTGGATCCTGTGGAGATCATGGAGCGGTTGAATATCAACGAGGAGGAGAAGCAACGGGAGGAAGAGAAACAGGGAGGACAGGAGGGGCAGGGAGAGGACAACACACTCGACGAGAGACGGGCGGATGATGGTGAGGACGAAAGGACAAGGCAGGCCGACGGATCTGAGGAGCAGGATGCTCTTATGACCCTTGTAAATCGACTTGAGAGGGAGTGGGAGGAGACTCATCCTTCTTTTCGCTCGATAACCTCAGAGGGTGCGCTTCTCCTCCTTGTCCTCCTCTGCCTTCTCCTCCTCCTCCTCCTTGTCCACTGCCTCTCTCTTCCTTCCATCCTCTCTATCTACTTCATCCTGAATGCTTTCACAGCTCGTCGTCCCAAAGACACGCACAGCAAGGAGCAGATGCTTCATCCGCCCTCCTCCCTCCCTTCCTCCCGTGACCCCCCTGGCAAGTCAGGCACGAGCTCGCTCCTGCAGGACAGTCCAGCTATCTCTGCCAGACCCTCCCTGCTCAAGAGCCCGACTGCGACCCCGGTGAAGCGAAACCTCTCGCGCATCCGGCGACAGTCAGGCGCCATGGGGGGAGGAAGCGGCTTCTAGGTGGCCGATGGGAGGTAGAGGGGGAGAGTCAGTCACTCGCGGAGGAGGTGGAAGAGACAGGCAGGAAGGGTAGCCGGGATGAGGTATATACAGAATTAATGTACAGTCAGTGATAGTGATCGAGCTCCTTCTGAAGCAGCGCATGAATGCTGTCGCCCTCCTCGAAGAGCGCACGAGCATTGGAAAGCCATCGCCTGCGAGAAAGTCACGCTGGACCGCCTCCCCTTCCTTTCCCTCCTGCCTCCTTTCTTGCTCTCCCCTCTCCCTTTCTCATCCTACGTCCATCTCGCTCTCTCTCCTCCCGCGTTCCCACCTTTTCCATTCATGCACAGCAGCCTCTCTCCCCTGCCCTCTCCCGATATCCTCTGTGTCCTCTCGCCTGCGTCCTCGTCAGCTTGATGCACAAGTGCGGAAAGAGAGGGATCGATAAGGAGAGCAGCGAGGGAGGAGGAGAAAGCAGAGAAGGAGAAGCGAGAGAGAGAAGGCAGCAAGGAGGGCAGGAAGGAAGATAAGGCAGAGAGGGAGGAGGTGGAGGGAGAGAAAGTAGAGAGGAAGGAGGGGAGATGTTCACCTGTGAGGAAGAGAATCTCCGACCATGTCTGAGAACAGTCGAAGGAGACGAGCGGGCCGGTGGGATAGCGTGATGTGTCGATGAAGTTGATTCCTCATCTCAGGAAGTCGCAAAAGACACTCGTTATCCCTGATAGATTGTCAGATACATCCAAAATAGTCCCATCGTTGTCGTCGTCGTCGTCATCGTCATCATCAGATCATGTTGCTTCTGACCTGCATTCTGCGGCTGCCGCAGCCAAGTCATCCGCAGCCTCCGGCGAGATCATAAAGTTTGAAATCCAGAACCCTTGAGTCTGCAAGGGAAGAAAAGTTCAAGACGGAGCGAGAGAGGGAGAAGCGAAAAGGAGAGCGAAGCGGCTAGTCTACGAGCAACCAAAGCTTGAATAGAAAGGGAAGGGACAGCAGCGGGGAGGAGAGAAAGAACATTCTTAGCATGTCCGTCTCTCACCATGTGCCTCTCGATAGGGGTTGTAATGTCTCCGGCAAGCAGCTCCAGTGATTTGAACCACCTCCTTCCCTCCGCCTGCCCGCAGTCTCGTCTGACTTGTAACACCTGACAAGCGATAAGTTGCGATGTTGGAAGCCGGGGGAGGGACAGAAGGAGGGACAGAAGGAGGGGGAGAGGAGAAGGGGGGGGGGGCAGGAGAGGAGGAGGACAGCAAGGGGGTGCAAGGGAGGACCTTCACTTGTGCCTCTTCCAGCTTGAGTTGCTCGAAGCTGAGCTCTTCGCCTTCTCCAGCCGTCTGACTTTCAAGATGCGGCTGGTTGGTTCTCTCAGACGAGCTCGCAGAAAAACTCCCGTGCTCTTGCAAATCCGCCTGGGTACAAAGATCACGCTCCTATTTGTTCCCCCTGTTCATAATGCTCCTCCTGCTCTTGATTTTGCTCCTCTCTCTCTCCCTCCGAGTCTCGGAATTGTCGCTAATTCCCTTCTCTCATTCACCAGTCTCACACTCAGCTACTCGTTCTCCTGGAATAAATTCTAGAATTCTCCTCTCACCTGGTTATAAGCTGCAGTCGCCAGAAGGAGAGAGAGATAATCGTGAGCTGCCTCCTGTAACCGTTGATCATCCGAGGAGCCAAGGAGCAAGCAAGATGTGAGTCAAGCGCAAGAGAGAAGAAACAATGAAAACACTGTGAAGGATGTAGGAAAGCATAAGAAGAGGAAAAGATCACAGAAAGGCTGAGGAACGATAAGAGATGATGACACAAACCTCTCGGTATGGACGGTCTTTGGTTGATATCTGAACGCCCTTGTCCCTGATTAGCAGCTGGTACAAGGCTGACTTGCACAGAGCTCTGGTAACAGCTGGCCATTTCGATGTCCGCGACCCATGCAGGTACCAGACTCGCATCGGGATGTTGTTTTCAACCTGCTCGCAAGTCATCAGCCTCAGTCTCTCACATCCAAAACGTCCACCAGCTCTGCGCAGATCAAGACATTGCCACTGCAAGCTAGGCGTGCCGATTCGACGAAGGTAAGCCCCATGTGAAAGAGCTGGCCCATACCCCCGCCCGCTAGCTGCCTCAAGCTCACGTCCTCAAATAATCCCACAGTGTCCAGCGACGTCGAGATGAAGTAGTCGGCATTTCGCGTTGGCCTGCGCGTCCTCAGCAAGACGATTCTTGGGTCGCGGATGGACGCCACTTTGATGCATTTCTCAAAGACGAGGTACAGGAACACCTCGTCCCCATGGAAGGAGCAGAGAGCTTCAAACATCGGAATGTTCCAGGCCACTGTTTCATCTTCATAGAGGATCAGTGACAGATTGTTTCCTTTCAGTCTTAAAATTCCGAGAGGAATAGCCTTCTGCCGAGATTGCACAGGTATAATAAATGATAGTGTGCGAACATCCTTTTCCTGGTACGAAACAGCCTGGTCGTGGGAAAAGCTCCAAGCACAATGAAAGTTTTCATCAACGTAATGTACAGTAGATCCATTCGAAAAAGCAATCGAGGCAGAAATCTCTGAGATGAAAAATACCTGAATAACATTCAGAAAACGCTACAAAGCAAAAAGTGATTTACATGTTTTGCGTCACATGCTTTCTTTTGAAACGAAATGCTGGGTTTGAATTAGCAACTTGTACTGTCAGAAGATGTGCGCACCTTTGCAACCCTTGCAAGGAACCCTCCTTCGAAATGAGGATATGGATACCAGAGCATGTGGCCACTGCTACCTTGTGCTCATTTCCTTCCCTTATTGACATACAAGATATCGCTTCTTGAGCAGGGTGGCGCCAGACTCTTGTAGTAGTTTCGCTCCAAGGAGCCTCAGAATCGACTGAGCTGTAAACTTTGACGTAGCCATCTTGATCAGCAGCAAAAATTTCATTGCTGACTGAGACGTGAAGAGCGTTAATCCGATTGTTGGATGGAAACTGATTCACGACGGTTGCCTTCTTCAGGCAGTAGATAGACAAGGAGTGATTGACATACGCCCCGATCGACCCTCTCCAGCAGTTCACGCCTAAGACCAGCTCACTCGGCTTTGGGATGACATGGGCGAAGGCTGCGATGCTCCCGGCGGTGGAGATAAGGCTGATGAAGTCTGACATGACAAAGTGCTCGACGGGGATCCGAGAACTTCTGAAAAGAAGCATCACAGGAGAGAAGAGGAACAGGGTTGAAGACACAGCACCTTCGGCATAATTCTATCTCAATCTCTTTTTTCAGGCTGTCTTGCACTTTGATTCTCGGTATTCCCCGTCCATCCTCCAGGATGTCGGAGTACAAGCTCTTGGCTGCAAGGGAAAGAGCTGGATCAACAACGCTTACATGCCGCAAAACGTGTTGCTCACCGATTTCTTGCTCGAAAGAGTTGCCCATCTGTCCTGCTCGCACGTGTCCAGCCCATTCCTTACAGACGAGGGACACCTTGCTGGCAAGCAGACACTTGTCGTGTACCACCTTCTCACCTTGGTCATCATGCCAAAGCTTCTCCAAGACGTAAAGCCATGGAACTGATGGCATGGTCTCAGCACTTCAGATGGCCTGAAGCATTCGCATAATCTGAAGAGCAAGAATGAGAAATTGATCGATCCGTGCATTTGCATTGACACAGCGAAATATAATCCGGAACAAGCACAGATATAAATCACGAGTGTATAGCATCAAGTCGGAGCATAATCATTCTCGACCAAACAAAAACAGTATGCAAAGGACATGATTCTGCATAAGTACAGCAGGTCTGAGCACAATCACATCTAAGCGCATGTCCAAACATCATCTTCATAACAGTCTACAAAGCGTCTGAATGATAGTGAGAGTGATAATCTATCAATCTCTCATTTGCTTTCATGCTTGAGACCACTGTATCCCATCAAGATTTCTTCTATCCTCTGTTTCCCGCCTTCCTTCACTCTCTCATCCTTTGCTACCTCCGCCATTCCCTCAACTTCCGCTGTTCATTCCCCCTTCCCAGGCAATGCAGGTGTATCGGGGTCAGGTAGTCCATGGACCGGTACTGCATGGATGTTTCTCTGGGCATCGTGGGGTACTTGGAACCACCGGTGTGTTTATAGGGCAAAGCATTCTACAGCACGGTGCCGCATGATGTAGATAGTAGGGGTGGGTGGAGGACTCGATGTAAAGGATAGGTGGTGGGGTGGTATAACACCGAGGTCTTTGTACAGGGGTAGTACCTCCAAGGTCAAGTTCCCGGGTGTGAGAAAGCGCTAGGAAAAGGCCAAACCTCGTAAATCAAGTGACTGAAAATATCAGTTAATTAATGAATTCTATAGTAACACAAGAGCAGTGAACGGGTACCGGGCCGGCCGAACTGCCGGCGGGCCGGCGAGGGCCGGCCGGCAGTCCGGGAGCGAAGGGGCAGGAGAAGAGTCGGATATTGATAAAATGATTAAATGATTATCACAGTACCAGAGGATTTTAGTCATCAGAGTTGTAGTAGTAAAGCGCTGGGTTCGATGGAGTTCTAGCGGCTTCTAGAGGGGTTGATACGTGCTGAAGCAAAAGAATGACAAAATATTTCGAGTTCTTGTCCTTCGAATGTACATCTTCAAAATTCAAATTTAAACCAATAATTTGAACTGTTGTTGGAATCTTCAATTGATAAAAATGGTTTTCTTTATTATGTGCTTGTTTTAATCTCGCGTTTTAAAAGTACAAAATAAAATTTGTATAAGTTTACAACAGAGGCTTTTATACCCCATCAACTAGATGTACCAGCCATGCTGACGCCTACTGATAACTTGTATAAAAGTCGACCCTTATTTATTAATGTTTTAAGGCATCTCGACATGGCGCTCGGGAGGAGCAGATAATGTGCAGGCGTTGCGAAAGAGAGTGAGGGGGAGGACATGCCAGCAGAGACAGGCAGCTACAGGAGGTGACACCTTGCCTTGTTGAAAGCACACACACATACCTCGAAACTCACCCGCGGAGTACGACGATAATGTCCTGCACCCTTCCAGATTCCGAAGTGTCCGCTTCTCATCCGGATGATATCATCGGAGGTTTTGCAGACATAATGACGCATGGAGTGGAAAACAATGAAGACGGCGATGGGTTTGTGCTTGCATCATGTCCTTACTGCAAGAGAATATGCAAACACATGCTCGAACAGAAGAATGAAATCCGAAAAGACCGGTTTGTGTGTGGGGGCTGCAACAAAAACACGTGCAAATGTGTGAAATTCACAGATTGCAAGGGAATGGCGAAATCGAATTTTCTCTGGGACGAGGCGCTTTGTCGCGGTTGCAACATGGCTGTTGAGAGATACTCCAACGGAGAGATTGGCCTAGAGGACCTAGTGAGGGAGATGAGCGCTGAAAACTCTCACTCGCCGGCGCCTAAGAAGCCTTACCGGCACAACGTGAACCCTGACGCCCTCTCCATGCTCGCCTACGTGTTCCTACCTCCCTTCGATGACAGCTCAGCTGAGAACCAGTCAGAGGCTGAGAGAGCTGAGGTTGTGGATGAATGCTCCTTCCACTTCGCGCTCGCGCAAGAAAAAGTCCGCGAGGACGGGGAATTGAATGTGTTTCATGAAGCAAATATGCGATACTTGCTTGATCAGCGCAGCAAGCGTGCGATCGTTAGGCTGGGGGCAACTAACATCGTGACTCAAGGGTCTGATGAACAGCAGCGGGAGTATGTCGAGTGCGAGCTCACAGAGAGTTTGCGCAAATCCCTGAAAGCCAGTGAGGCCGTGGAGAAAATTCCAGAGGTTGTCGATGCTGCTGTGAGAGATGCCGTGAACAGAGGAAAAGCAGAAACGTGGGAGATCATGCGCGAAGCGCTGCTAACGTGGCCAGGGCCTGAACGAAGGGATGTGGACAAGTATCGAGAAATGATCTGTCACAAGGTGAGAGTCTGATACGAATGCCAGTGAGTTGATTGACTTGTACACATTCAGACGTTCTTGAATCGTTGGCTCAAAGGATCCTCCAATGATCCAGTTTGGGCAATGAAGAGGATCTTGACTCACCTAAAATGGCGACAAGAGTACAAAGTAGATACGATCATGGAGGAGGACTGGAGCGAGTATGATAAGCGTGGAGAGATGTATCCTTGTGGACTTGACAAGGATGGAAGACCGACCTGGACTTGGTAAGAAGAAGAATTTTTTTGATCCTCCCACTGAAGCAAGTTTTGTGGATATAGGCACACTCAGAGGCATGGCAGGACTATAAACTCTGTTCCTCCTAACTCTTCTCCGGAAATGGGCGCAAGATATCTTATCTGCACTCTTGAGCGGACATGGGCTATGAATCCCTCAGCGGACAGGATGAATGTGATCTGCAACTGTCAAAACTTGACGTTTTCAAACTATGAGCATGCGATGTGCCTCATATGTCTAGAGATCCTTGGTGAACAGTATCCTGACAACATGCAGTACTGCTTCATGTTTCCGGTTTGTCTTTTTTCACTTTCTCATCCCTTTGACTATTTTCCTTCAGGCTGGTTGGATCATGCAAGCGATCATGGCTATTGGACGGCCGATGATGTCAGATGAGACATACCACAAGCATAAAATTCTTTCGTCTGACAAATACCGGGACTGTCTCGCCGAGCACTACGATAGGGATCAGGTTAGGATGCTCTTGTTTATCCCTTCCTCGAGCGATCTTGATTCATCTTCCAGCTGGAAGAAGATTTTGGAGGCACCCTTGACCCTGCTTCGAGTTTGAGACGGAGGTGGCTGTTGGAGGACCCGGCGAGGCTTCAGGAATGGCTGGCCGAAGAAGATGCAGCGCATCAATCATTCGCCCCTTCTGAGAAAGCCTGCGATCTTCAGAGGCAAGTGCTGCCCCATGACAAGAAGGACCTTGCAGGATCAAGCAGAGCAGCCCCGGCGCCCTGCAGCGAGCCGTTCGGCCATTGTCGGGACTTGTGGTCCCATGGTCGAGCTCGAACGCTCGAGCAGGGGGAGGAACCGGAGGGCTTGAGGGAGTCAGGCTGGCAAGAGGAGACTGAGGCGGCGCATGAGCGAAGGCTGAACTCTGAGTCATCTCATCGAGAGGTGGAGGACGCAAGCAGTGACGACCTGCCCGAGCCTGGGGACGACCATGGATCTCCAAGAGACGATGAAATCGCATGTGTTGAAGGGGAGGCTGCTCAGCCGGAGGCAGAACAGAGAATCTTTAAGTTAGGGCAACAGCCAGGAGAAGCTGAAGGAACAGCGTGCAACCCAGCCTCCCCTGTGCTCACCAGGAAGCTTGTGTTCTCGACAATGGGAGGATGGAAATTTGTCTCTTGTTGTGCTTCAGTGGCGGTTCAGTCCGGCGCCTGCGTTGGACGCAGCGTTGCGAAGGTACTGCGAAGCACGTGGGACTGGCTGAAGAGGAAGTGAGTGGTGGCAGAGAAGTTCAGTGCTCAGGTTCTCTCTGCCATGATGAGTGAGGAAGAGGAGGAAGAAACGCGTGAGAGTGAGAATAAAGACTGTCAAGTACAACAAGAGTATGTGAACTCTATTTACTCGCCGTGCATCAGGCCATCCACTCTAGGAAAATTTCGGGTCTGCCTCAATTGAGAGATACTCTTGATGAAAAGGCAGCAACATCGATAGGGTGGAGTTCCACTGATCATATTGCTGCCCCATTTAGCAAGGTTCGATGCGGCGCCCCATGTGGTCGTGTTGGGTGCTGGGGCTGGTAGCGATGTGGATGGAGGGAGGGGAAGAAGCGACGACATGCGAGACAGCGACCAGCATGTTGTATCCTCTCGATTCCTTGATCAGAAGAGCAGGAAGAGCAGATGGAAGTCTTGATCAAGGAGGACGCGCATTTTCGCAAGCAGGTTTATCGCGTTCAGGCGCAGCAGCGTTGTGTGCCGGAGCCAAGTGTCAACTAAGAGTCCGAGATGCTGGTCAGATATCTTGCCTCCGAGGAGGATCCTCGGAAGAGTCCTACTCCTCCGACAGTCTCCAGGACAGCTCAGGGTCTCATTCGCAGGCTACCGAGCTGTTCCGACAGATGGACGCAAAGGAGAGAGAGGACAAGGCTCGTGAGGAATTCAAGTCGAGGTTGGCTAAGAACGGAACAGACGTGGAGAAGCTGATCGCCTACGGGCTCATGGGAGATGGCGATACTCCTCACTCCATCGACTTCACCGCTGGGTTCCGATACTTTCCAGGGCTCGAACACTTCCCCCCGCACCCGCGCGAGGCAATCATGGGCACTAACGTTGACGACAAGGCAGAGCCCTACAAAGACTTTGTTGATCTGATCTTAAAACCAGAGAATCTTCCTATACTCAAAGAAGCTGTCAAAGACAGCTTTATAGATACGTACAACAAGTTCTTCAACAAAACAAGGATAGAAGAGAAAAACTTGCAGAGACCAGAGAAAGAGAACAATTTCATCAACAGGATCAAGAAGAAGAAACTGAACTACAATTGGCTGAACACACCAGCCAGAGACATGAAGATGGAGTATTGGGTCCAGATGGACGAGTGGAAAATCAAAAAACGAGCGCGATTAGCTCTAGAGCAGTATCATAAGAAATGCCCTTCCGTGCTGTTCAACCTGACGTACGTGATGGAAGGAGAGGATGAGGACTCGCGGATGAAGCGCTTCATGCTCAGCTTCTTCAGCCTGGAGGAGGCGTATGAAGGCTGCCGCAGGGCCAGAGACCTTTTCTATGGACCCAAGTTGAGCGAGCTTGACCAGAACCTTCTGACAGCCGCCATGGACGGAGACTGGCGGCAAGTCGCTTTCTGGATCAGGAGAGGAGCAGATGTGCATGCGCGGGACTTGAAGCTCGGAAGCAACTGGACCTCGCTGCATCACGCTGCCTTCTCCGGCTTCTCCGTCACCTCCCGCACGCTCGTCGAGCTCGGGGCTGACCTCTACGCGCGGGAGCCTTCCTTTCTCGATACTCCGTTGCATTTCGCTGCTGCTCAGGGGCACACGAAATGCGTCAAGACGTTAGTGGGCCTGGGGTGCCCCGTCGACATCACCAACGGCGATGGGAGGACGCCGCTGCATGAGGCTGCAGGGCGCGGACAAACTGACACCTGCGCAGCTCTCATTGAGCTGGGGGCAGACGTGAACGTCAAGTACAGAGGGGACGAGGAGCTGTGGGGGCTCTACGACGCGTGGACAAACACAGGAGCTACTGCACTGCACGATGCAGCAGAAAAAGGATATGACGCCACTTGCAAGCTGCTGCTGCAAAAAGGTGCAAGACTGCACGCGCTTGACTCTTGTATGTGCACTCCTCTTGATCGCACTGAGTATCACATGATACAAGAAGACCTGTTGGACGTCTGCTACCAAACGCACAAGTTGCTGAAAGGATGGGACGATGGCTCGATGCGCGACTACACGTCGGAAGTTGCAAGAAGTCCAGGAGAAGACGAGCTAGACAAGCTGCTGCATGCTGATGCAGGGTCGTTCAGCTTGAACTTCGAGTGGACTGATGCACTCAACTACAACGGCATCGCCATCAACGCGTTGGATCGCGCGCGAAACTCGGAGTTCTACTCCATGTCGGACTATCATCGCTTTCGCTGCCCGTTGGCTCATCTTTGGTCGCAGAGAACTACCGAGACTGAAGGTTACGCTTGCGAGCTACCGGCAAAGACTGCAGGGGAAACGATCTCCGCATTTCGGGGAGGAGATAAACCCGGGGCACGTCATCAACTACGGGAACATGGCTGAGGGTCTCTTGTACTTTAGCCTGACGTGTGAGCAGGTCCATGGAGAGCATCATAGATAGGCGGTTCGAGTACCTCCTGGCTCACAACATGGTCCCCTCAGCTGACCGACGCCAAGGTTTGGAGCTGATGTTGTTACTCGAGGTGATCCTGTTTTAGCTGCGGTGGAAAGGGAATTGGAGGAAGCAAGAGCGATGAAGGAGGCAGTGGGCGAGGAGGAGGAGGAGGAGGAGGAGGAGGAGGCGAAGGAAGCAATTCGCTGCTATAGTGGGGTTTAAACGGCGGGAGCAATAAGCAGACTTATGATTGAAGGAGATATATTACATGGTGTGACAGTGTACAAGGAAGAAGTGTCGGAGAGTCATGTTGTCGGTTTTGTTCTCTTCGCTTCTGGTGGTTCGCAACCCTCCTGTCAAGATGTTAAGGAAGAGGAGAGTAGGTGGAGGAAGGAACAAGAGCAACGCACATCAAGCTCATGCTTGCTTCCAGCTCTTGACTCTTCGAATTCCTGTCGAGCCTCCGGGCTCTGCACTCAATAGATTAAACGGGCAAGATTGCGGCGCCTATGGACGCAGAAAGCAAAGCAGTACATCGAGCGCGGATGGACTTTCGCGGGGAAGGGAGGAAGGGCTTTCTACTCCACGTGTCAACAACACGGCACCCGTTGAATTGCTAAGCAACTGTCTTTACCTTTCCTCTTCTCCGATGCCCTTCGGTCCCCGTACTTGCTTTCAGGATTCCACACAAACTCTAAGCTCCCCTCGAAGTCGTAGCCGTGACTATCACCACGTGAGCTGAGTCAAGAGAGCTTTAAGTTGGGGCACCTTCCTTTGCTCGTCCTCTTCGTCGGGAAGTAGCCGAGGCGTCGGAGCATCTGGTGGAACGAGTTGGGTTTGTACTGCTTCCCTTGTTTGCCCTTCATGAACCAAGCTTTCCTTCTCGAGTGCCAATCTTGCGCTCTTTCTTTTAACACGTTCCATCCCCGTATGCCTGCATGATTGGATCAGCTCAACGGCTCCTGTTCTCTGACCTCCACACCTTCAAGCAGCTCCGGCACTTTCCCCTGATAACGAACAACGATGCCCTCGACCTCCATTTGTCTCAAGAACACCAGGAATGGAACTGCTCCCGAACCCTGCACGCGACATTTCCCATCAACAAGATGCGAAGCTACAGGTCGCTCTCACCTCACAACACGGTATCTGTTGCGCGAGGCAACCGGGCTGCTGGGATTGGTTCTGGTACAAGAACAAGTTTTTCATATCGAAGCCTGAAGAAAAAGCACACGCCTGATGCGACAAGATTGAAAAGTTTGGCAGGGCTTGCGGGTAATCGAGAGAAATACTTGCAACACCACTATCAAGTTGTTTCCGCATTGCCAGGAGGCTGATTGTTGAGGGCTGAAGGCAGACATTCTGTAACAAGGGACATACTCCGTTCGCTGTCTTCATGCTCAGCGGTCGATCCAGCGTCAAGGCCTTGACCACTGCGATGCTAGGGAGCCTCGGGCTCTCAGGTGAAACACGTAGAGGCTGAACCTTGTCCTCGGGCTGTGTGATGATACTTGCCATGTTGTCTATGAAGAAACCCATGGAGTACAACCGCCTGTCACGATCAATCAGTTGCACTTCAAAGTTCTATCTTGTTCTCTCAATCTTTAGTTAGGTGTCTCTTCTGCCCCATTTGGATTAAGTACCCTCATCATGCGTTCTCAGGCATTGCCGTCCTAGTAGCCACAGCTCTCATTCGATCGTTTTCATCCTGCCCTCTCATAATTCTCTAATCCTAGAAACTTCTGAAGCTCACAGACCTTCATCATCATCATCTCAACATCTCTTCCTCACATCCTATCACCGCTTGACTGTCCTCGATCCTCACTCCTCTTTCTTCCTCGCGCATAGGCACTCCCTCAAACACCCCTCTTCTGCTGTTTTCTAGACGCCGATCTTTACCCCTCTCTACCACCCCCAATTTCCGTACCCCCACCTCTTTCTTGTACCCCCCATCACATACCACCCTACCAATTAAATCCAAACCATCGCTGTCCCCCGATTTCTCCATAGAAAGGTGGGGTTATTCCATCAAGGGATCCTCACAGATATACTGGGGGTGGTATGGTGGGTAGCCTCAAGATCCTAAGGGTACCAGGGGGTAAATTGGGAAGGGGGTCAGGTGGTTGGATGTTGGACACTGAAAAGAGGATAAAAAAAAAGAAAAAAAAAGGTGGGTGCCGGGGGGGAAACGTATCGCCGAGCCTTCAGTAAGGGGGGTGGGGTACTCGAGGGAGAGCAACAAAGGGATTGAAAAAAAAACAGACAGGTGGGGTCGGTTCCTCAAACGTGCCGTGACACAATGGGGTGTACGACGGAGGGTGGGTGGGGGGTGGGGTGATGTTATCACCCCCCCCCCTCGAGCGACATCACGTTTCTGGGGAATGGAGGTGGTAGTGTGGGAGCCATGGTGAGAAAATTGAATTTGACCAGCTGTAGTAAAAGAGACCGACCTAGTTGAAGGTACTCTAGACCTGGTGGGGTACACAATATTTTACCACAAAACTTACTACAAATTTTTACAACTGTCACGGGGCAATCATGGTCCATTAATTTTTACTCATCGAATAAGATAGAATTGTTAGTGTGTAAAGATCTTTTAAAGGACAGCAAAAAAAAGCATGGGAGGATTTGTCTATATCTTCTTTGCTGCCTTGGGTGACAACCTGATCACTCAACGTCAGGTTGGGCCCCGAAGCCCCGGGCGAGACCCGCCACTGAACAGATCCTTAAAACATCTTTACTCAATATGACCGCCATGGTGCGCAGTTGGGGCGGATGAGAAACACAGGGTTCTTTCACAGGCATGCTGAAAATGTTTGCAATAAGACTTGTCATAGCGCTCTTTCTCATGCACGATACTCTCGTCGACTCTCTTGGATCACGGGCAAACCATGTCAAGACGAATTTGCTCTGGAATGCACTGCGCTTGCGTGGGGGCGCAGATGACACCGCTGCTCGATTCACGCCTAAGGTGTTGGAGCAGGCAAGTGACGTGACGGACAATGCATCAAGCAGGAGGAGATACCAACAAACGAGGAGCGAGTCGACCCAAGTGGAATGGGTAGATGAACTTTCTAAAGAGATTGACAGAGTTTGCGAACAATTCAATAATACTGACTTTTGGGTGGGCCCGCCCAAAAGAAGCCATCAATACTTGCTGAACCAGATGTTATGGAATGCATCAGCATGTGGGAACGAATCTGAGACTCTACGACTGATTCGAGATGGCGCAGACGTGAATTCAGTCGATTCAGAATTTCTTCAGACTACGGCATTGCATCGCGCCAGCTTACACGGGCATGGCAACATCGTGGACATTCTCCTTGATCATGGCGCAAACATTAATTTTGCAACCATCTGGAGATCTACTCCGCTGCACTATGCCGTTGTTCGCGGTCACAAAGATGTGGTGGAAACTTTGGTAGTGCGAGGTTGTCACAGGGCTTCAGGTTGTGTCTTTTGACTGGAAGCGTGCAGGAGCAGACATGTTCTTACAAGATCCCATTGGGCACACTGCACTAGATCGAGCTAATGTTAGTCATTCAACGTTTATGGACGGCCATACACTGACTGTTGATGTTAGCTGCTACAGTACAAGGAAATCAGCTTGTACTTACATGCGATGATGCAGGAGAAGACTGGAGACGTATGCATGCAACCTATTTGTGCGTGGCTCATCTCTGTTTGATGTTGCAGAAAAAAGTTCCAATGGATCCCATGTTTGAAATCGATTTCGACAATGAAAAAGGTGCAGTTGCAACACCATCCATGCTAGAGAACACACTGATAAGATGCAATCAGGCACCAAGAAGAGGAAGACAAGAAAATGAACACAATAAGAATAAACTGCATTCAATCAAAAAAAGTATTGTAGCTAGACACTGGAATGCGAACTCTTTAGAATTTTACTTCTTGAGTCTCCATCTACCAAGCGCCTCCTTCCCACCTAACATTCAAGCAAATTGCCGTCAGAATCTTTAGTAGACATAGTTGGGTCATCTATGAAACACACCTCGTCCCTTGTGGCTCTTTCCCTCCGGCACAGATTCTAGACAGCAACCAAGTGTCAAGACAGCAGAAGAATCATCATTGTTGAACACTAAGTACCAAGATAATCGCAGACAAATCCCTCGGGCTCCAGAAGGTTTGTGACCAGGTCAATCGACATCGCATATGGGGGACCTCCTTCACGAGTTTCGAGGGGGAATATCAATGTGACCAGTTCACCGCCTGGTTTCAACAGCTGCTTCATCTTCTCCGCCCAGGATTTTCTCATATTTGGCTCGATAGCACACAGAAATGTGTAGTCATAGATTACGTCAAATTTTCTTCCTTCCAGCGTGAAGAAATCATCGGTAGAAAACTTTGCATCTCCCTTCCATGCTGACACTCCAGCACTCTTCAACTCTGATTCATTGAATTCCTCGGCAGCCTGTAATTCATTGTCAGCTTTGCCAGTCTAACGCTCTGATTTCAACAACACCTTGACTGCTGTTGGAGATATGTCCAGCCCCAAGCCATTGAATCCTATCTTAGCAAACTCGCACACATCGTATCCCCTTCCACAGCCCGGCACAAGCGCATCCGGCTTGCCATTGCTGTAATCAGCATACTTCACTTTCCACTCTTGAATGAGTTCAAGTAGCACAGGACTAGACTTGCACGCTAGCTCAGGAAATCAGAAATGAGACGAATACACAAGATCTTTCAACCGTCAAAGTATTGGCCGGGCTTCAGGCCTCCATCTCGTTTCCACATATCATCCCATCCAGTCATCTCTACTATCGGTGTTGGCCGAGTGCTTAAAGTTCTCCAGGAAGGAAACTGCCTCTGAAGCACAGAAGGTAGAGCAGAGAAAGAAGAGAGAGTCAGGGGGCGACAAGGAGGAGAAGGAATGAAGAAGCAAGATCGCAAGAGCATTCGCGTCGCTACTTGCCCGGCCAGCATGGAGTGCATCTCCTTACCTTCCTTGCTTAGCGCAAATCAACCCCTGTTGTTATACCCCCAAGTTCAAAGTACCCCCTTGGATGCCATTATTGCTTGGGGTGAAGTACCCCTCCATTTAGGTTAGACTTTCAGTACCCCTCAGATCTCTTTGTTTTAACAAGAACTTTCGTCATCAATGTGGTCTTGGCCCGCTACCCTTGGGGAAAGGACCCCCTTCTCTCCCCTCAAGATTAGCCACAAATACCAAGGTGGGGTCATGAATGTGTCAGCAGTGAATTATGGAGGGTGGGTCCCTGGTTTGTGAATAATGTAAGGGGTACCAGTCAACCCCCATGACTTGTACCGGTTGCTTAAACAATAAATTTAGGGGTTCTTAGACTATTTCGACTTGGCTTGCACGGAAATCAGGGGGTAGTGGTGGTAGACACGGTGGCGAATCAGAGCGTAGTAAAGCGGATTTCTTGAAGGGGTACATTTGATATGAATTCCATGATAAATGGTAGGTGGGGTGGTGACGAGGGACACGGTACTATTATTATTAAAAGTACTGATTTTTAACTTAACTTAATTACTAATTAAAAGTCTGCTTCTCCGCTTCTCTCAATCTGATTCTCACAAGCTCGCCTCACGATAAAGGACAGCAACATACGTGATAGCCTGTCCCGCTGCTTGGCCTGGGGCAGTGAAGCTATTCGCTATGCTGCATGGCTTGCGAGGCTACGAGACGAGGAAGGTGAGGAAGGGATAAGGGAAAGCAAATCAGTATGAGAGGAGAGTAGATTCAGATAGAGACTGCAAGAAGGCAGAAAGCAAGGCAAGGCAAGGCAAGGCAAGGCAAGGCAAGGCAAGGCAAGGCAAGGCAAGGCAAGGCAAGGCAAGGCAAGGCAAGGCAGGTTGCTATTGGAACAAAGTAGAGCTGAGATTGAAAACACAGAGAGAGTGAGCGAGCGAGGAGGAGAGGGAGGGAGGGAGGGAGGGAGAGAGGGTGGTGTGGGGGGTGGGGGGGGGAGAGAGACCAGGGACAGACACAGACACAGACACAGAGAGAGAGAGAGAGACAGAGAGAGTTGAGAAATAAACGGGTAAAAACCATACGAGATGGTGTTATTGGGTGGTTAAAGATGATGATCTCATTCAATGGTCCAGGTGGGATGCGTTGAGTGAGCGAAAAAGAATGTGGGTCCCTCAATCACATACGAGATTCAGCTGGATTGCAAACCACAGCGATCAGGTGTTGCCGATCGGACACACAAACTTCAGCTGGTTTTGCACTGCACAGAATGTAGAAGAGGAAGAAAGAATTAGGGGAGGAGGACTGAGGCGAGGATTCTTGGATGCAAAACATGGGGAAACCAAGGTCCAGGATGTGGAGAAATTCCTTACCCGAGATGCTCCGAGGTTGTTGGAGGAAGCCGGCAGACTGTCTGAACTCCGAGCAGAGGAAACAAGCCCGTACAAGCACAAGTATGAAGCTCGAGCTATTTTGAAGAAGGTGCACAGTCAACTTGCTGCTTGCGATCCCGCGGGAAGCTCGGGGGAGATTGGGATGAAGATGGAGGAAGCAAAAGCAAGAACGGAGCTCATGCTCGGCATCAACTTCTACGAGACAGAGGAAGTAAGTCAAGGACACAAGTTCCTGACAGAGGCCGAGGCTCTTCTGTCCGCCATCTCGTCCAAGTCAGCTGAGAGCAGGTGTCATGCTGACTACATGGACTGTCTCAATCACCTCGCAATCATATCGAGCATGCGAGATGAGCAGCACAAGGCCCTCGAGCTCCTCCTGAGAGCACGGGAGGTCCATCGACGAGCTCGCGCTCCGTCCTCTCCCTCCGACCTCCTCTCCCCCATGGAGAAGCAGCTCACAACCACATGCTTCCTGCTCGCCCAGGTACCTGCCGATGGTGATTGAGGAGCGACTGCTGACCGTCCTGCTCTTCAGGTCTACCAGAAGGTGGGAGATTTGCATGCCTCGGCAGAGCTCTGCGTGGAGACTCTGGACCGGCAAGCACAAGTCTTCACTGAAGAGGACTGGAAGGCGCAGGGAGACGAGTGGGTCAAGAACGCCATCCAGATGTCGGGCTACAGCCTGAGCATGGTTCTCTTCCTCCTCCTTCCCTTGCTCGTACACACCGTTACCCTCGCTTTCATTCTCCCTCTCCCCTTTCCCTCCTTCCTCCTCTCCCCACCCCTCCGTTCTGACTGCCGCCCCTGCTACTGCATCTCTTGCTCCTTCCTCGATTCTTGCTCTCTGTTCTTCTCTCCCTGCATATATTCCCTCCTCTCCCTTCCAACTTGTGCATGCATTTGATAGTTGTCTCATCAGAATGACTTTGAGAGCGCGAGCATGTGTCTAGGAGCAGCAGAGGCAGCAAGGTGTGATGCGGGGTGTGGGGCCCGGGGTGGGAGGAGGGAGGGAGGGAGGGAGGGAGGGAGGGAGGAGCGGTTGGGCGGATTTGATCAACAAAGACATGACCTCTGCGTACAGCAAGCGATCGAAAGAGGAAAGTGCGCCAGAAACTTGCCAGCGTGAATTGGGGGTAGGAGGGAGGA